AAAATATGAATTTTGACATTATAATTAATTTGATTCGAATGGCAAAATTGCTGATTTCTAAAGGTAACGTCAATTTGGAAAAGAAATTCAAGCTCGATGTTTTGGTGTATCATTTTATTTGAATATTATATTTTGAGCAAACATCTATCGAATAATATTATTCTACATTTTACTTTGGATCCCAGAGTATTCGTAATATGTATAATTATTAGGTTGTAAGTAGAAACAAAATGAGGTTGTAAGTAGAAATATGATAGAATTTGATTTACGATTAGAATTTATCGAATTAGAAGAATATTTGAAAAGTAATCGCGATTCAGCGATATTCAGACCTTATTAAACTTCAACACAAGTGTATATAGAAAATTCCTTTGGCCTTTATTTTCAGTTTTCATCTAACTGATGCTTAGTGAAGTTTGTTAAATTGTACAAATTCAACGGGTATTAAAATGATAAAAATTAACATGATATATATAATGGCATTAATTAGTATTTGTCACGTATTAATTTGCAAAGCCAGTGCACATAAACTAAAGAAAAACTTGATTGATTCAAATGAAATGCTTTATGATAGTGGTGATGATGAAAAAATAATGATAATAAAAAAACAGTTAGAATTGGGATCATCAAGTCAAACAGACCAATTGATCGATAACATTTCACCCCCTGTTGCTTTTATTCCATTGAATAATTTTGAAAATGTAAACCATCAACACTTTTATTTCATCAAGCGTTGGACGATTTTCTTTACTTGAAGCGTATGCTATTTTTTCTAGTGCAAATGGGCTGGTGTCGTACAAATTGGAGAGACTAAAACTAAACAGAATATCCAAAAATTTATGATGATATTTGATACAGGTTCACTGGATTTGTGGGTACCTGCTTTAAATTGCTCTTCCCCTGGATGTGGTATGTATTTATTAATCATTTAATTAAGTTTTAAGATATAAGATAATATGTTTGTTAATTTTCATTTAACTTTTGACAGTTTTAAAGTCAAAGTATGATTCTTCGAAATCTGTTACGTTTGAAGTTCCAACAAATCAAACTTTTAGTGTTAAATATGGCAGTGGATATGTTGAAGGGCGATTAAAAATGGATACAGTTAAGGTAATGATGTAACAAACTTAGGACCAATTATTCTTAAAATGATTTCGAAGGCATGTTGTGACTTCTTTTCATTATAGATGGGCAATTTGGTTATAAAGAAACAAATATTTGGCAGTGTAACTAAAGAAAATTTGCCTCCAACATATAAAAATGGGAAATATGATGGTATTTTTGGTTTGGGGTATCGACAGACCGGAGCAAAATTATCACCGTTTTATAGATTACATGAACAAAATTCTATAAAGTACAAACAGTTTTGTTTTATATTGTTTGCAAAGAACGAACGAAAAGACGAACATGGAAATGAAATTGGTGGTAAGCTGGTGAAAGCCAAATATTAGTTGATTCTTGATATAAAATTCATGTGGAATAAAATCTGTGCATGATTGCTAGGTGAGTTGCAAATCGGTGGATGTACTGTTCAACCTACCATGTACATATAGCTAAATGAACGTCGCAATTGGGAATTTAATTTACAAAAAATCGTTATTCAAAGTCCGCAAGGGCCGAAGACAATTCGTGGTGGTCAAACACTTTTGGATTCGGGAACAACTTTAATCAAAGGACCTGAATCTGAAATTCAATCACTTCATAATGCCCTGGGCGCAACAAAAAATTCGTCGAATAGATACACTATCGATTGCAAGACACCCGAAAGACATCCATCGATTTTTTTTGTCGTCAAAGACAATGTTATCGAATTAAAACCTTATAACTACATTATATATTCAAAAGTAAGTAAAATAGCATTTCAATTTGCTTATTTTCATTTGATAAATACTAATCTTTAAACAAATGCAGAATGCTGGGCAGAATGGGTGCTACACGATTTTTCAGGTTTGATAAAAAACCCAAAAGAGCCATACAGTGGATACTTGGTAATAGTTTCATGAAATCCAGAACCGTGCTATTTGACATGGACAATCATCGCATCGGGCTTGGGCCCAAAGCAAACCCATTTCAAACCATAAAACATTTTAAAAGTCTTTCATTCGTTTCTTTATGGTAAATTCTAAAATCCAAATAGTCTGCTCTCAATTGGAAAAAGAATAAGCAAAAAATTGTAAACTAAATTCATGAATGCATTTTAAATGGAATAATTAGACAATATATTTGAATTTTGTCATCTGGATATTTCAGCTCATCTGAATGATGTTAGGCGATGATACGGAGTGAAAACAATAGAAGTGATTGTTATAATTATGGTGGTATTTTTATACCTCGCATTAGTTTCAAACAACTCTTTGACATATTTTTTATTAGGAACATTTTATATTTGAGTCTCTTAATCATTTCGCCCATTGTAAGTGATTTGATTCTGCTCTTTTGATTAATTTTAAAAAAATTCTCTCGTCATTCTGAACAACTTTGTAGAACATTATTTTTTTATCCGACGAAGTTTTGAAAAATGGGGTGCACCCCCACCCCCCTGGGGAAAAATTCTCCGATAGAAATTTTCCATTTTTTACCCCCAGCATACCCCCCAAAAGGTCTTTTGAAATTCGCACGCCATAATAGTGAGCCTGATATATGAGACACCCTGTATGTTTTTTTTTATTTCCTCGTTCCGCACACTGCTCTAGTGTTCTAGCACAGCACATTGTCGTCGGCTCGCTTGCGACGATTTGAAGAACCATTTTATGTTCAATAAAAAGACCGTTCAGTTTGAGTTCTGTCGAGACTCCCGAGAGACAGATTTATTATTCTTACGTCTACTTTACAATTTGACAGTTGTGATTGTGACAGGTGATTGCTTAAGGTGATTCACACTCTTAACAGTTTCGAACATCACCAATATGTATCCGTATCCATAATGTATTAATATTGGACTGCCTCCTGCATTTACTGTAAATACTCGCTGAATTTGGATTCTAGAAGAGAAAAAACTTAATAATTAATTTCAGTAATTTTTGTTTTTAAATATTTTACCGTCGTGTGATTTCAAATGTATCTTCAATGAATGAACCTATGTCTGGACAAAGTTCTTACAGATTTGGCAAATGCACCGGGCGATCAATGCAATTTGAGTGCTTGGGTTTTCATTGTACACTTCGGAAAAAAATGTTGTAAGAAAAAAAGAAAATTGAGGTCACTAAATTTTGAGTACGTAGCTATTTCATAAATAAGTTTAAGCTTTTAATACTTTATCTCATATTTGTGGATTTACGTCAAAATTCTACTTAATTTTGTTAGCAGAAAAACTTGTTTTTTGATAAACTATTATTTAAAAAGTCCATCCTTGATAGCTTTTTATTATATTTATGTTTCTCTCTATAAAAATTTATTTATTGCATGTGTATTTGTCCCTGGCGATGCGATTCGTAATTTTCGAACAGTTGTTTGCTAGAAAACTGTGGTTCAACGTTTATGCAATATATCAAGTGTGTAGTTAGAAGCAATATTATATTCGAAGAATATCAAACAAATTCACGTGTGAATTGAATCGAAAAACGAAAAACTAGGCACAAAATATCGATTGTTGGATGTTGCGCAACCAAGTAAAAAATGGCATCCGCATCCGTATATATTCAACCGAAATCATCGTTGGTATATTTGTGAATTATCGTTCTGAGACCGTTAATACCAAGGGAATATCAATGTTTTTCTGCTTGTATGGAGATGGACAAAATCAAATCAAGTTTTGCTATTTGAACATATGAAAAATGATGATAATGGCCTCCAGGAACAACAACAAAAACAAGAAAGTGGGAACCGCGCGAATATTTTTTTTGAAACATATAGCACAATATAAATCTAGTTGTGATGCTCATTTTTCATGTTTCATATTATGCGCGCTCAGCGTTGACTGATTTCCGTTATATTGGACACATCATTTCCCTCTCCGAAACAGCAGTTCTGCAGTGGAAGCGTGTCTTTTGCATGTTTACTGATGATGTTGTTGATGACCGTAAGATAAATAGCATATTATCCTGTCCAAACTCGAGATAACACACTAAAAAACGCTCGCTCTCTCTCTACTTCATTGTTGGTATACATGTATCGAAGATATGATAAACTCCAATGACAACAATGATTGTTGAACGTATATTTCAAAATGACATGATGCTGGTGCAAAAAAAACGTAAGCGAAAAACATGAAAATTGATGAAGATAATTTACTTTTTCTTCAATGGTACTTTTGTCGAGCGTTTATTTAGTTTGCAATTTTTTTCTCTGAATTTATTGATCGTGCTTGCACCTGAATTTACGGAATTCAATTAAATAAACTGTTTATACTTGAAATGTGGTGTGCACTGCACGTATACATTTGGTATGTTTAATTTGTATGTTTTGCTTTGTTGCGCGAGGTCCAGAAGCCATTTGCAAAGTATAGTATAGGCCACAATGAAAAACAGCTGCCTACCATGCTGTACATTTACCACCTACATGTATATGATATAAATATAGCTTTAGGTTTACGTTATGTTTAGTAATCGCAGCGAAACACTCTCGCATGGAAAATCGGCTGAGAACAATTTTTCTCTGGTTGCGAAAGCAACGAAAACTACATTTTCATGTATTAAAGCTTGAACCATTCGCTTGGATGATATGTTCCGAATGACGAAAGCGTGTGTTTCCTATTCTCCACAGTTATACACATTTCCCCCAGCCACAAAAGCTTTGGTAATAAAGCAAACTGTATCTATGTATGTGTTTGTGTCTATGTATGTGCACGCATACACTCATAAAAATCTGATGTTGCCATTGCGTGCGAGCGAACAATTGAGTTTTTCCATCTGAGTTCATGGTGAAAGTATGTGCTTTTCTCACTTCGGCTCATCATTTTCCATCATTATCATCGTCATCGTCATCATGCGATCATCAAGCCAATTCGCTTGACTGTGAAATATGAATGCATGAATTTCATTCAGAATGCCTACGACGAAGCATTCGTTCGGTGGGAACTGAACTGGCAGCACGTATCTGTGAGTTTTTCTTCCTTCATTTTATCGAGCGTAACCGACACATATTTTGTTCACACACACTCTCTTTCTCTCTGTCGTTTCGAAAACCGATGTGCATGTGAGAGAATAATTTCAAACACAAAGTTTTCGTCGTGGGAATTCGTCATTAATAAGAATTAAATACTTTGAAATTATATAGATTTGAGTAAAATACTCAGGGCTATAATCTCATTAAAGATAACTTTTCGACTCGAATCAAGACCAGTGTTTGTACCAGTAAATCACACAGAGACACACACGCACACTGTGCTTGTTGAATGGAATAACATTTATAGCAAAGAATAGATTGTGAAGTGAAGCAACAGCAGTAGCAGTAGCAGTAACCACAGGATTTTCGTAAGAGAGTACATTTGGCAAATAGTAAGTTTTCCGGAGAAATTAAATCATCAAAACTACAAACTACGAGCAATTGGACAAAAGTGCATTCGAGTCTGGACTGAAATCGGAAACCAAAAACACATTAACCACAACCATTTCATTTGGAATAAATATCGGTATCCGGTTTACTCTATTCGAATAAAGTGTGGTTTTAATTTGTGTTTCGATTTAGATGTGTGTTTGTGTACAGAGACCATAAGATTCAGCGTGCGATTTTGGCAAAAGTGTTTTGAAAAAGCGACGATTTGTGGTTAAAAAAATTGTGTGCCAAAAGAGAGCATAAGAAAATAAGTGCATATATCAAAGTAAAACGAAAGCGAAAAAAACCCAACTAAACGAAAAGTGTTTTCTCGCTTGTGTCCAGCTGATTTTATAGATTACACGTACTCGGTGGAACAGCGTTTAAAGTTAAATGATACAAAAGCATCAGCGAATGAGATAAACGGGACACGAGCACACTTAAAACGAAATAAAAAAATACGACACGGAAAGAAGATTCTTCACACACACACACACTTGTTTTGTGCTAGAAAAATGAGCGGCGAAAAAGAAGAAACAGTGATTGAATTGAACGTTGGAGGTGTGCATTACACAACCACACGTCGTACATTAACAAGTGATAAAAGTTCTCGTCTTGGTGAATGGTTTGATGCGAATAATACATCATCATCAACATCGTCAGCGCTTGTAAAGGATGCAAAAGGTCGATATTTTTTAGATCGTGACGGTGTACTTTTCCGTTTTATTTTGGATTTTCTTCGAGACGATGCGATTCATTTGCCAGACGGGTTTCGAGAGAAGCAACGTTTACTCAAAGAAGCTGAATACTTGAAATTGAACGGTTTGATAAAATGTTTACAAGCGCTAAGTGATAATCATTCGGCAGCTGGTTGTATTACAGTTGGATATAGAGGCTCGTTTCAATTTGGCAAAGACGGTTTAGCCGATGTTAAATTCAGAAAATTGTCACGCATTTTGGTGTGCGGCCGAGTTGTATTGTGCCGTGAAGTTTTTGGTGACACATTGAATGAGTCCAGAGACCCCGATCACGGTGGTCCCGATCGTTACACGTCACGTTTCTTTTTGAAGCACTCGTTTTTGGAACAGGCATTTGACATGTTAAACGAAAAAGGTTTTCGACTATCGGCAAGCTGTGGAAGTGGCACAGCTGGAGCTGTTGAAGCAGCACTTAAACCAGGCGTCGATGTTGAGGAGAATCGATGGAATCATTACAATGAGTTTGTCTTTTTGAGAGATTAAATGAATAATGTCACACAAAAACAGCGTGGAAATTCCAATTAAAAAAACAAAAACAGAAAAAATCAGTAGAATAGATTATATTAAGAAAATACTAATTTTAGTATTAATACTAGACAAATCTCTTACTCGAATTTTCTCTCTCCAAAACAAAAACAACAACAACAACAACAAATTCAATAATATGCATTCAAACATGGAAAATATCCATTGTCACACATTTACAAACAAATTTCTTTTATTTATTTAATTCTATTGTCATCAAAAACAACGGAAAATGTCCATACAGAAGCTCAACATGTTGTGCTACAAGCGTGGGCAAAAAGTCAAATTCATTAAAGCATCAAAAATCGCATGATCCAAATGAAAAACTTGTTCAAATAGCTGCGAAATGAAATGTCATTAATTTGAATGTGACACAAAGAGGCCCCTCAATTAAACAAATATTAATAACGACAGCAATAGTTTTAATGCAGACTGTGAGTGAGCGAGTGAGCGAGCGAATAATTTATTTTCAATCTCATTTTAAATCGATTTGCAGTGTGAAATATCTGCTTATTTAATTGGTCGTATTCGGTTTCAATGGAACCATACGCCAAATAAATATAAACCATAGTCATGGAAATTATACACATCGAAAAACGATGACATAGCACAATGGCACGCGATGAAATAATATATTTTCGAGTATTGAATCGAAGTAGAAAAAAAGCTTCACATTTTTATGCTATTGGCATATACTTTTATTTGGCCTGTTGCTGTGTGCACAGCGTACACACTACAATCTATAAAAAAGGAAATATATTTTCTTTGTTGAAGAAAAAAAAAATTGTTTGGTCATAAAAAAATCTTCTTTGTTGCTTCAAACGTTTCTTTTTTTTTCTCATCTCTCGTCTATTCGCCACCGTATTGTTTGTTATTATGAATGGCAGGAGTTTCAACTCTGAAAGCATCTTTATGATTTTCAAGTACGGATTTTTTTTTCATACTCTTTCTGCAACACTTTTTTTTTCCTTCTTTTTTCACTCTTGACTTTCATTTCTTCTTCCCAATTTCACTTGATTTGGCGTGCTCTTCTTAGTTTTTTTTTTCCTTCTTAACTGATCAAATTGTGGAAATGATTTGCGATGGATATAATACATATGGTTTTGCTCACAGAGACGATGCAATGGAAATCACAATGGCAAAGTGTCTCACAACTCACGTAATTGAAACTCAAATAAAAGGGCAATTTAGTGTGTGAATAGAGAGAAAATGGACGATAGGAGGTAATACATTCCAAAAACCGGAGTTCAAAAGTCGTATAACTTATAGCATTTGTGTGCGTATATGCGGCACTCGCTCGTTCGCTTACGAACTATTTCCAATCCATTGAATTGTTGATTTTGCTAAAAAATAAATTGAAATTCGGCCAATCGCATCGCATTACATACACAGTTTTCCCATCGATAAAACATTACATTATTTATAGTCCAAGGCAATTGGTTCGATGAATTACAAATGACTTTTTAATGGAATTGTGTAGGTTAAAAAATTCAATAGAGCCATTTGAAAAAAAAACTCAGCATATATAAATACACTTCAGTCAAATAAATCATAAACTTTTATCTCGGAAGTCGAACACTTAACTTCATTTAATTATGTGCTTTTTTTTAGTTAAGCGTATTTCCAGCATAAAAGCCATTGAATCGAAAATGCATTTTCGTGGAGGTTTTTTATATAGATGAATTCGATATGATTTATTCAGTTACTTATTATTTTGTTTTTTCTCGGTGGATCTGAAATTGCATTTGAAATGTTTTTGCGGTGAACACTAGTGAGCTAATTTTCAATGCTTTTTTGCTTGTTTCAATCATTTTTTGCGTTGTCGCAACAGACATTTCGATCCGTTGTTACAACGTCATATCATAAAATTCAACTTTATGAAGGAGAAGGGAAATTGTGTGTACTGTCAAGTCAAAGTTAAGCGATTAATTCTGTGTGCAGAGAATTTAAAATTGCATGGCAACAAAAAAATATGACGATCTCTAGTATTTTTAGTCTCTTGACTCGAATTGTCTTGAGGGAAAACTAAAAATTTTCATGACATTTTCGCTATTGTTTCGCTGGAAAAACGGTTGCAGCATCAACAACAGAAATTTATAAAGAATTTCATAAGTGCGCCCTCATTGAATGAATGAATCATGCAATAGCATCATGCACAAAAATATTTTTCTTTTTAAGTAAAAACACAGTAGTTTATATTTTCTCTGGCATTTTTATCGGGTGCAATATCAAAATATATTATCTGTTTATTTGAAAACTCAATCAAACTTTTCGTTCTATTAGACGTTCCTTTTTTGAAAACTGAAAGACCGCTGAAATTAAACGACAGAAAATTTATGAATGCAAACCATGCAGAAACTTCCGATAACAAGATTTTAACATCGTTTTTATTTTTTCGTTGGATAGAAAATCTAATACATTGGAACAACATGTCGTTGTCACCTCAAAAACAACTCAAAACTGGTTCAATTTGATTATCACGTATATGGGCCAAAAGCAAATTTTCACCACCCACACACACACACGCGCGCAAAACACCAACCTATCAATTTTATCATGCAGCGAGTGTATTGGCGGAAAATTGGGTGAAAATATCGGGGTAAATACATGTATGCCAATTATCATGTTGCATGGTAGATGCTGTTTTTGATGTGACAACCACAGAAACAATATATAAAAAACAACATAAATGTGATAATTTAGTGAAAAATTTAAATTTTGAGTTCACCCATCAATGGGCTAGTGAAAATTTACTTGAAGAAGCAAACAAGAAAACTATTACAAATTATATAAAAGAGATAGATAAAAATTCAGCATAAAATGCTTAATGGATTGATTAAATTAAAACAAAAAACTATTATTACCATTATTATTGTACATGAAATTATCCGATATTTATAAGATACACAAATACACAAAACTATCCTGCAAGTACATTTTGGAGATGATAAAATTGAGGCGAAATGAATAAAAACTTTAAATAAATGACAATTGTATTCGAATAATTTGAATTCAATTTTAATTTTGCATGTTAAATGTTTAAGTTGCATGGGTCTAGGTCGTTCCAATTCCCGCCGGGAGGATGTAAACTTGATTGAAAAGAGACGAAAAAACAGCACCCGCGGGCCATTCAACACTCTGTTTTGAATGCGTCGATGAAAGTGTGAGCACCGTCAACCGAACCCATTTTCAATGTGAAAATTGAGTGCACAAACGAAACACATATAAAAAACCCGTGGCGTAATAGAATTAGCGTTTTGATAAGTACGTGTGCACCAATTAAATATTTAACAATTCTGCGGAGTCGTGAAAGCTGAAAGGTAAAATTACGTTCTACTAGTAGGTCGAGAGGAAATATGAGTTTATGTGACGCTCGCGCACACGCACACAATCTGTTCATGTCGTTGAATTTTTGTAACTAACTGTATCATCATTATTAATGTTGCTGACTGAGCAGATTAATACGCGCGCTGAACCTGTAATAACTTGTGTAAATATGCGGAATCGCATATATATTATGCATGGCTTTTGGCATGTAATACTTCATAGATACGGCAAACATGTAAAACATCGCACAGACGTATACACACAAAATAGGACTCGCTTTAAAATTCAAAGCCACATCTTTTTTAAAGTTTTCAAATCTGATTCAAATTACATTTCATCGTGTATTCGTACATGCAGTTGGACGTTTTGTCAAACACAAACAAAAATACACAAAATACATCATTAATTTCTGACATTCATCCAAAGTCTTTTCTGTCAGCTGTACAGCCGCGTTTTTTATGTTGTCAAGACAATCAAGGAAAAATATCACGTAAAATTGTGTATTTAATTAAATTTTATATGTGCATAAATATGCCTGAAAACGAGCTTTAATTGAAAAAAAAGAGAGGAAAGAACCCTGCTCTTTGCCATGTTCTCGATTCAGATGTTCATAGTAAATGAAACATTCTTCCGAAAAAAGGCCACAAATGTAAAATTATGGAACAGGCATAAAGCGAAAAAAACGTAGTTTAAATTAATGCTTTGTTCTTATGTGTGTTTAACTTGAAATGGGTTTGGTGCGAATTCGAATCGACTGTTCCAATTCCAGTATTTCGATGAAAACTGCTACAATAATATGCAATGTTGTACAAACGGCAAATATAATACGTATTTTCAATGTAAAATACTGTTACCAGGCGATGTATTTACAATGTACGATATTGGCTCGCAAACGATGCTAACAATGCATGTAGCGAAAATGGCTGGAGAGAAATCATGTTTCGATTGCTATTATTATTATTTGCTTAGTCATGAATATGCACAAGGCTTGCCAAAAAAAAATAACCCATATGTCATTCTGAATGTGTGTACTGTGCTACGCTTTTGAAATTGCCATTTGCAATATTCTGTGCTTGGAAAGCCATAATCCCGATCTTTGTGTGCTGTTATTTGCAAAATGTTGTGTTTATATTTCTTCGTATCTTATTTGCATTGCATAATTTACAGTTTGAAATTACCAAGCTGTTGTTTCTCTCTCCCTCCCCCCAGAAAAAAAAAGCAATAAAGTATGCTCAATAAGTGCACACATATTAGTTTCATTTTGCATCGCGACAGATCCACACATTTTCGATTGCCAGCAGTTATTTTTTTTAATATAACCCTGCTAACAATTTGAATGACGGGGGGGAATGTTTTAAATATTTGCGGCCAAAATGAGCGCTTTAGACCAACTCAACGTTTAATTATATTCCATTGTGTAATTAAATTATCTTGTTTGCAATTTATTTATTGAATAACAATGTTTGACGCTGATCGACCGCCAGTTATGATGAGTTATATTTATTTAACAATGAGATTTCGGTTATTTCCATTCCTTCTGTGTGTTTTTTTGCCGTTGGCCGAGATATACCGAGCCTCTCTGGGTAAGAGTTCGCCATGCTTTCAAAAACTTTGTTCATTTTCAACAATTGAAATTGTTATTTTGGAACTGAAATGCTATTTATTGCCACCAAGTTTGAAGGTGGTTTTGGAAGATGATTGCAGCAAGTCAAAAACTTCATCAAAAAGTTATATACCGAAGACCGTTCCCGTTGAAGAGGGATAAAACCAACAAATTTCTGGTGTTTGTGAATCTGCAGCCAGATGCTTTTGTCTGTTTCTTTTTTTTCATCAGAAACTTTTCATTCGCAAACTACCCTTGATACTACCTTTGGGACGCACCAGTTGGTCATTTCAAAAGTTATTCTTCTTCCCATTCTCCATCCATAAAAGCATATATTCCAATAATTTTGCCATTGTTTGGGTCAGTAAAATGGCTAGTTTTGGGATGAACGATGTGGTCGACCAATTAAAATGGGTTTTAAGGTTTGATGTGTGTTAATCAAATTTTACTGGTGTGTGTATTCGAGGCCGCATAAATGGACTATAGAATATGGTTTTTTTTTATATGTGTGTGGCATTGACAAGCATATTCATTAGTGGAAATTTATAATGGGTCAGTGTTTCGTGGAATCGATTTTTTTCTTCTCTTCAGCTCTTCAGGTACATTATGTATGTATGTTGTCACATCATATGTGAGCTTTTGGATTTGATGGATGAAAAATAGGTATATGGTTACGACGCTAACGCATCTGCTTACTCTTTCCACCTTCAATCTACATAAGCTCACATATTGAACCGCCTGGCAAAAGAAGTATGGCGAGAGATAACTTTGTGCCAGTTCACATATGTTCAATTTCAATCGTAGCCGCTCTCAGTTCAAATAATGCTATAAACTTGTATGCAACTCTGGAGGTAGATATTTGCTCATATCAAGAGACATACATATGATGCGATGGTATTTTGTGGTTTTAATTTCATAATGTATTGAAGAGAATAAGTGTAGTGAACGCTGACAATGGTAGAAAAGGTAAGATGCTTTGGATAGTCTATAAGTCTATTGAATTGTAAGTATGTGTTAAAGTATTTTAAGCATCTTATTTTCCATATGAATGCAAAGAGATCTCCGTATGCGAATGGTGTCTCTTGTTAAAAGGTGAAACCGCACAACGGAATTTCATGGGTTCTGTGTCTTATTTTTAAAATCCCTATTAAAATATCACACATTTTTTTATGTGTTGCAGTAGTTTTATGTATAAGTTACACAACGAGCACCACTCAAGGCACTTCAACGAGCGTACAATATTTCATTTCCGTAGAATAAATATATACGTGTACATATATACATAGCAGTGAGTGAAGTTGTAAAATTAGAAACAGAAAATTGATCGCTAACAAAAGCTCTGCTGCTATCATACACCGAAACGCTCTTAAAATAAGTTTTCCACTTCCATTCAGATACAAAGTGGTTAAAATGCAGTCATCTGTACAACGTGAGCGATAAACACTAAACCAATGAAAATTATGAGGTGCACTTATTTATAAGGATGAGTGCGTGGGCAACTGAATTTATGCGCCTCAAGTTCAGGCCATTGAAGTTTTAATTTCACAAGGAAACGTTTCGCAATCAACTCAATACCTTAATTATTTTACTCATTAAAATATCATTAGTTTTAATGTATGTTCGACTCAGTATATCTGTTTTATATGCACATTTCACACAAAATGAATTTTGCAACTCTGTTCGCGAGTGTTATACAAGCGCACAACCCAAATACAAAAAACTTGTGCCATTCATTAGATTATTTTCACCATTAGACACTTTTACGATGCATTCCATGTTAATATTTTATGCCATACTTTTTTCCAGTGCACGAGCACACATTAAATTATGTGAGACGAACAATTATTTTTAGTTCGAGTTGGTATAGTTTGTTTGCGAGAGAGGTAGAAAACGATGAAGAGAAAGTCAAAATTTTTGAAGTGAATGTGTAGCTGGTAACTCATTCAGAGACCATTGTAATTTTATTAATCTCATCAAACTTCACTTATGCTGTTTTAAGAATAGCAATTGAGCATAGATCCAAATTATATAATTCACCATAAGTTGCTTGGCAGTGGCATCAAAATAATTCTTTTCCGAGAATTCAAAATATATTATAATCACTTGCCCCCGGTTGTGTGTGTGTGTGGTGAACTGATATAGATTTCCACAAGAGCCACATTCAAACGTGTCTACGTCCATTTGGAAATGGAAAATTTATTTGGAAAATCTAATTCAACACATATCCAATCAAATAAAGTCGAACAATCACAATACAATTTCGAATGTGGATTTTATGAATTTAATATGATGATTTCTAATTTAAATGTAGATTATGATGAATTTAGCTGCATCGAACTAATTATGACCATGTCCAAACATGAATATAATTTTTCTATGGAATTTTCCCCTGTTCTCTTCAATGATATGCTATGTGAATGGTTCAATGCATACGTCATTCGGTGGTTATGAATGCAATTGTACACTATTCAAAAGCTGAAAACCAAGAAAATGTGGATTTGCATTAGAAATTGGTAATTTTATGGACTTTTCCAATTTCGCCCACACTTTCACAACTTTATTTACATAATATTCACTAGTGATTACAATGGCTTCATGTTTGCGATTGGAATAAGATTTTTCTTCAAAATTTGCACACTAATAAGTTAACAAGTAAGAAATGGATGTAAGTTTACAAGCAAGTAATCAATGCCATGAATATAAAACGACCATTCTTATATGATATAACTTATAACTGCTAACTAAAGAAAAGAAGAGAATGAAGACATACCATCAACATTTTGAATTGTTTGCTTCTTTGTCGAATAACTTAAGTACATTAAGTACTTAAAGTACCCTCAATAGCTATGGAATAGTTTTTTTAGACATATTTTATATCAACGGTAATTTTCTTCAAAGAAATCATAAAACAATTCCCAAAATCAAACTTCTGATTCAATTTCACTCTAAAAATAATGAAAACAATTCTCCCAATCCAAAAGAATTCGTCTCAAGTCCCCATAACAACGGACTTTTGTATACATAAATTTACGTAAAGTCAAATTTGTCTCCACAACGTTACGTATTCGGTTGATGCATACAAGTGTCAGTTGTGACAGTTCATCTCTTGTCATCAGACAGAAAAGAATGAATCAAAACATTAGAATAAAATAGAAAATTGTGCAAAAAGTCCCTTCAACATTGCCATTTATTGCTTACGTCGATTTGGTTGTGTTTTTTTCGTGCAATGGATGTACTAAATAAGTTTGTATCAACGGTAAGCAGTACTGTATCGCAGCTATCTAGTGTATTGCCTGGCAATCCGGTTTCGAAAGACTTTGAAATCGGTGAACATATTGCGAGTGCTGGTCCAGGTAAAAAACCTTATCACTTCGCAATTTTTATTCTTATCTAAATCGATGTCATGTTTAAGGTTTATGTTGGAAGGTATACAAAGGAACGAAGCGATCGACAAAGCAGAATGTGTCAATATTCGTGTTTGACAAAAATCAATTGAAGTATATAAAAGAAGATCGTGATGTCATTTTGGATGTTTTGAAACGTGGTGTGATTCAGTTGACAAAAATCCGTCATCCACGTGTACTAACCGTTCAACATCCGCTGGAAGAGAGTCGAGACTCTCTTGCATTTGTTACCGAACCGATTTTAGCTAGTCTTGCAAATTATTTGGGTAATTATTCGAATATGCCATCACCGACGGAGCAAACACAATTTCCATCGTTGCATGATATTGAAATTAAATACGGTCTAATGCAATTGATGGAAGGTCTTCAGTTCCTACACGCCGATATGAAAATGATACATCGGAATATTTGCCCCGAGTCAATTGTTATTAACAGTGAAAATTGTTGGAAAATATTCGGTTTCGATTATTGCTGTCTATTGACGGTGGACCAAGAAACTGGAAAGATCGGCGGCACACAACAAACAGCATATGTTCAATGCAATCGAGTTAGTTTACTTCAACCACTTTTGGACTATGCAGCACCCGAATGGATTATTGATTCGCAACAATTTTGTCCGAGCGACGTTTATTCACTGGGTATGAAGGAATATTTTAAAAAATTGAAGATATGCTAATTTAAAACTGTTTATTAAATAAGAGATAAAGCGTTCAATTTAAACACCAATTTATTGTATTTCAGGCGTTCTCATCTATAGCATTCATTCGGCGAATAAAAAACCATTCAAGCTGTTCGGCACGAATTTGGAATCGTACAAAGCATTTGCCATGGACTTAAAATTCGGAAAATTTCCGACATTGACTTGCATTCCATCAGGGATTGTCGATAATGTACGATTGATGTTGCACTACAATCCAGATACACGACCAAACTTGTATGAATTGTTGAAGGTAATTAACTCAGAAGAAAAAATCACAAAATTCATCTCTTTCGAACCGAATTAATTTTGAAAATGTTCCTTCTCAGATTTCCTACTTCGATGATTTCGGTGTGAAAACATTGAGCTATTTAGAGTCACTCTATCAATGGGATAATTTACAAAAATCGAAGTTCTTCAAAGGCCTGCCACAAATTCTGGAAAAATTCCCCGAGCGTTTGAATCGCAAACAAATCTTACCGTGTTTGATTAAGGAATTTGTGAATGCCACCATGATTCCATTTGTGTTGCCAAATGTTTTGTTAATTGCTCAAAATTGTCCGTCGCAAACCGAATATTTGGCTGATATTCAACGTCATTTACTTCCAATCATGAAAATCGAACAACCAATTCATATTTTGTTGATTTTCATGCAAAATATGGAACTGCTGATCAAATTAAGTACATTACAAGTGATAAAAAATGATTTATTGTCGCTGTGTAATCGTGCTCTCGAAAGCGATGTCAAAGAAATACAAGAGCTCTGTCTAAATATTTTGCCAACGATGGCCACACATATCGATTATGCCGTATTGAAAAATGCCATTTTTCCACGATTGAAAAAAATGTGCCTTACCACACAAAACTCATCGATTAAAGTAAACAGTCTCATTTGTTTAGGAAAGTTACTCGAATATTTTGATAAATGGTTTGCACTCGATGAAATTATACCATTTTTAACACAAATTCCATCACGAGATCCAGCCGTTATGATGGCTATTATCGGTGAGTATGACGAGTACAATACGAATTGGTTTTCCTTTTGATAATCTGTATCCATTTTTCATTTGACAGGCATTTTTAAACTGATAATGAGCCACAAGAAACTTGGAATGACGAAAGAAATAATGGCAACTAAAGTTATACCATTTTTAGTTCCACTTAGTATTGAAAATGGATTGACCATTCAACAATTTAACGCAATAATGACAATGGTGAATAATTTTGCTTAATAACATTTGCGGGACTCGATGCAGGTTTGGTATATAATCTTTTCCTTTTTCTTTTTTTTAGGTGAAAGAGATTATAACGACCATTGAAACTGAACACAAATTGAGACTCGAACAATTGAATTCGGTGCGACAAGATACGAAGTAAGTAATCACCGTCAAATTTCTTTTTCCTGAAATTCATATTATTCAATTTTAATTCAATATATTATGATTTTTCTTAGAACGATCGAAGGAATTGCAACAAAATCATTCCCTGAGTTCAATATGAATGATTTCCAGTCGTCTTGTTTGAATAATGACAATTCTCCAGCACAACCATCGAAAAATGTCAACGAGGTTCTAATGCCGTTATCTATGAGCATGCCGACCATTGCCACACCGACACCCAAACCAGCACCACAATTAAAGTTCGTCAATTACCACTTCTTTAAACAAAACATTGTATTGATTTAATGTTGGGTTTTCTTTAGGGATCTGACATCAAGTTTACAAAAAACATCAATAACACCATCACCCAGTTTTCCATCACAATTGGGAGCTAATAAACCCATGACGATGACATCAACCATTGCACCAGCTCAGCCGTCTATGAATTTGAATAGCAATTTTCTTGCTGGCTTTGGACAAATTGGTTCAACCGCAAAGAGTATGCCAATGAATCAAATGATGTCAACCACACCATCGACATTTTTATCCACTCAATCAGCATCTTCATTCCAAAACAGTGCCAATAGTTTATCAACACTCAGCCCAATCATGTCAAATCAATCTAGCTCAGCGAAAAAAGAAAATACAGTTGCATTATCCGCACAGGAAATTAACGATTTTCTTAGTTAGACAGATAACATTATCAACTGACAACTTTAATAACATTATTATTCTTGTTCGGTCCAAGTACTTTAATTTGCTTTGTAAAATTCATTCCGTATATGTATATTATTCATTTGGATTTATAAGTGATATTTTATCTAGGGGGAGACACGGGCTTTAATATTGCTAATTTTTCCAATTTTTAGTATGTTTCTACCCCCTAGTATTTTGTGCAAATCATTATTTACTCAAATAAAATAAAATAAAAAACAAAGTTTTATAAAAAAATCGCATTTTCTGGAGAAAAAAAACTGGAAATAAAAAACGGTGACATTTTGAAAGAAAAGCAGTTTTCCTTAAATTTTTTACTTTTCTTTCCATTGACATTTCTTCAGACTTGATGAGATTGGTAAGAAAATAAGATCAGAGGACCCAACTTTTCACATTCATTTTTGTTGAAATTTTGTCCAGATTCAACTGTCTATGGCTTCATGTAGTCAATCGAAATTATGCTGCACTTGAGTGGCCTGAGTAAATTCAGATGTCGAATATATTTCATGGCGAGCCATATATTTGGTGAAGATCGAGTGAACGGACAGGCTATAAAAGTCGATAAACGAACCATTTGTTGAAGACTTGGATAAAAGTGGAGAATACTTTAAAGCAAAAGATAGGATTGTGAATGCACGTAATATACGAGTGCTGTGAAGTTGGTGACAAATAAAAAATTCAAAGCTTTTGTACAGTTGTTTTGGATTTCAGTTAAATTAACTTTTATTCTAAATGCAATTTTGAAGGAAAAAACATCTAATTCGTTCTGTTCATAGAAAAATGTTCAATAAAAATTTCAAAGACAACTTAATGTTTGACAAAATTTTAGTGTAAAGTCATTTATTATAATATAATATAATAATTTATAATTATAAATGAGTGAACTTGTTGATTAAAATAGTACATCACAGCATTAATGATAAATGATATATGGAATATTGAAGGGTCATTTCAAATTAATTGCAGAATTCGATTAATTCGAGATTATTATTCATTTCTCGCTTTATAATGATTGATAGTCATCATTGATCATTTATTGTTTAGTCATTTAACACTATGAATCGATTGCAAGTTAAAAAATTCATTTGAATTGAGTCCATCAATTTGTTCCATTTCAATTACCAAATTGTAAACCCAACCCCAACTCAACTGTATTTTAATTGCAAAAAAGCTATGTATTGGGGAAAAAGTCATCTAATTTCTGAACAAATGCAAAATAATTCATGATAAAAATGGTTTTGGCGCTTTTTGTAAACACAATTAAAATGAAAATCGTTGTGAATAAACATGAATTTGGATTTTTGTGAATAATTTGTTGTGGTTCAAGATCCGGTTATAAAGCCGGTTACGAATTGAAGTTGTGTGAATTAAAATAGTTTTTAACAGGTGTAATCTAGGGGTTGACCACATCTCTCAATCACAACTTTACAGCTTTCAAAGTTTAAAATGCTCAATTTTACTTAATATCATCCAGTTTAGCCCATTGAATGTAACACAATGGTCAAATAATAGTGTTCACAAATGATAAAATTGCTTGTATTGTTCTTTGCAAATTAGGATTTACCCTGAAGTGCACAGTCTGACTACCATTATAAGCTGTAATCATAGGCGATTCAATGCGCATAATGAATCCACTATTCAATGTGTTTGCACAACAGTAATTCGGCCGAGCTCGATACATTGAAGCGTGTATTTATTTTCGACTGATGCATTCACAGCATGGAACTGACTAATCGAAAGAGAGCCTCGCGAAACGCAATCGAATTAATGAGCAAGCTAAACAATGCACCAGAAATAATGTGCAACAATTCAACGAATCAACGCTTTCGATATACATTAATTTTTGGTGTTTATTATCCTTTGCTACATGCCATCGATGCCGCTGAACCTCCATCCATGGCAATATATTGTAAATGCTTTACACGTGTTTCATTGTCGATTTTATTTCATTAATTATGGACCGTTGTCTAGCCAAAATGCATATATTTCTTCGTTGCACAAACGATATTATACTTTAAATTCGATACCATGGTACAATGCATCGATGTACCAAAATAAAAAGTTGTAACGAAACGCACATTGTTTAACATGTTGTAAGTAAATAATTTATATGCATTAAATTGATTTATGATTAGATGTTTTCGGCATGAAATTGGAGATGGGGTTATTGAACCGAGTTGAGCATTTCCTTTTGTTATGGAAAATTCGAGAATCGATAAAATATTAGTTTTATTCAAAACATGATTGGATGCTTTTTTTGGTTCATAATTTTTCGATGGTATTGTTTTTCATGTGAAAATTCACCATGATTAAATTGATAATTTGGATTTTTCAGCATTACAAGTCAATATATGGCTTTAATGATTCTTATAACGCGCCGTTTCAAAGGGAATTTTAACTAGGTACAAATTGGACCTCAAGCTGTGCTTCATTAATGGGCGAATTGAATTTGGTACGGAGGAGAGCCTGCCAACTATTAAAATTTGGCTTGCGGCTCTTAATTCTATTGTACACCTGTGCATCGTGCAAATGGAGAAAATTTATTTGTAGCGACCGTATTGTTGCGTCCAATATACTTCAGTTTCATGTTCTCCTCTCGTCGTATCGATTTTATTGATAAAAACTTGATGTTGCTAATTTGTTGTCGATACGACGGAACCAGAACGAGACTCAATTTCATTCAATAATTAAACCGCAGAGAGAAAATGGAAATGCAGTCGCCTCATTGAACGCAAATAGTTAGACTGAAATTGTAATGATGATAAATGGCATATCTAATGGATTTTAGTTTGAACTCTAATCTATAAAATTAGTTTGATTTTTCTTCCTTTTCCTGTCTTTTCATCTCTCATTATCTGTCTTTATCACTTCTTCTTCTTCCATTCTTAACCTTCTATTTATTTGATTTCCTTCTTTTCAAGCTCTACCTCCCCTTCACCCTTTCTCTCGTTCTCATTTTCATCACTCATTACATCAATATAATATGATAAAGAGATAAGAAGATTTCCTGTAACCATTACAATTGTAATGGTCTGTATAGTAATATATCTCGGTCATCACAAATGTTGTTCACTTTCATCTCCATTTTAACTTGGTTCATAAAGTATAAATATGAACTGTTCTGGTAAATGGGAATGTGTAGTGCGCGTCATCCATATCGTATCAAACATGATCGTATCAAGCATTAAACAATGATAGTGACATGAGATAGAATATGGTCAAAGAATTTGCATTTTTAAATTGTTGTTCATCAAAACCGTCCGGTAAATGTCATGACAATTTTCTTTGGTTAAAATTTCGAAACGACAACATGTAATTCCGATTCACAGTAATTTGTTACATATTATGTCGATGCACAGATGGTTTTTATTTATGTTTGAACTCGTCGACTAAACAATTTGCATGTAGTAAGCTGATTCTGCACGAGAATTCATTGAATACGGAATAATGCGAACGCATCGTGTTCATCAATTCAATGATCCGATGTTTCGATGAATGTATCAATTTACTCGTACCGTCTGTTTCATTTAAGACTAATTGGAGTTCAAATTGAGTTTCAAGTGCGTATTGTTTGTTAAACTAGAAATAATAATGTCTATTTGAATGAAATAGAGTGGCCGCACTGAAGCCTATTAAATTCCAAAAGTATAACACATTCTGCGGAGCAGATGCTATTCCAGTTAGTTATGGCTTGGAATTTCAATAATGCATGCATGCGTTCCGTTATTACAACTTTCATAAGAAAATTACATCCATATGCCGATCCTTTTTTTGAGCAGTAATTTCTCAATTTTGGATCATGTCAAAATGCCACGATTTCTACTTTACGACGTTTGCCACGTTGATTCGCATCACAAACTATGTTCGCACGCATTCATCCGGCTTGCTCTCGTCATGGTCACGTACAATTCATAGAGCATGAAAAATTTTTCTTATTTATTATGCTTGTAGAACTTGGATTGAAAACCACCTCTCTGTTTTTTTTTGCATGACCATGTCTGAAAGACCAACGAGATAGTATATATTTACAATCGACCAAGTAAAATGCACTGCGAATGAAGTTTGTATTCGAAAATGAAACGAAAAACGTATTGATTTCGTGAGATTCTATTAAAATAATAAAAAATACATCGATAATAAACGAATAGAGCAAAAAACCCGAGAAACATCATCTCTTCATCCTTCAACTGTATCATCGTTTGAGTTATATAGTGTAAAAATAGGAGAAACGATGAAATAAACAAAAAACGCAAGGGTAAAATATATTAAAAGTTAGCAGACGTATCATTTTCGCCGGCAACTATTCACGCTAAACCATTGCGGGTAATAACGAATTTGTGAAATCATATTTCCATAACGCATTTGAAAACGTGCACCCGAACGTAAGAAAAAAAAACGCACAAGCACACATAACAAGCGAACGAAGCCAAAATTTGGGAATAAAATAAATGTACTTGGTGGTGCGATGCGAAGCTGTCGGCTTCTTTTGAAAATTTATGTAACTCGTAATTTTCCTGCTCTTCGTATTATTTTCAGTTTTTTTTTCATTTGCTGTGTATCAACAGCGGCATGCTATGTTTTTTCCACTCATTTTGCTTGCACCAATGTTATATATCGATTTGTGCTGTGTGTGCGAATATAATGTTTGGTTCGCTTTGAATGGGCTCAGTGCATCCGTACACACAATTTTCGGCATATTTTGCATTTTCGGCTCACTTTCATTCTTCCGATCTAACATTTTTCTCTGTGGCGTCTTGGCATTCATTTTTTTTTGCTCGAATCTTTTCGCTCTTATTCCGGAACCGATTTTTTTTCACAACTGCTCTCACTCATTCCACATATTTCGGCCGCAATTTTTACAGAGTTTTACTTATAAAATTGATGTCTACATTAAGTAAATAAATGGTATCAATTTGAAGACGATTTTTGGATCATTTACATTCCAAACGATCCACTTCGCGATGCGGATTGTGTGTGTGTCTGTGTGTGTTCTTTTGCATACGTAACACATTTCAATTCAACATATGGACCCGTTGATCTGTATCTTTCGCGTGCTTACAATGCTGATGATTGTTAATGGGAAAAATGAGTGCGTTCGTCGTCGTCTTTATCTTCTTCGTCAGTTTTTCCCTTTTTTCATCCTTTGCGTGCACATTTAATG